TAGGATTCATCCCAAGGAGGCAGGGATGGTTCAACATAAAAATTAATAAGTATAATACACCATATTAACAGAAGCAAGGTCAAAAGTCACATGATCAACTTTTTAGATGGAAAAAAAAAGCTTTTGACGAAGTCCAACACCTATTCATGAAAAAAAAACCTACAGAAAATTGGAATAGATGATCTTTATATCAGTCTATAAAAGCCATCTATGACACAGCAACAGCCAGTATCATACTAAATGGACAAAAATTGAGAACTTTCACTCTAAAATTAGGAGCAAGACAAGGCTGTCCACTATCACCATTCTTATTCAATATAGTTCTGGAAACAGCCAGAGAAATTAGTAAGAGAAGAAATAAAAGGAATTAAGATAGAAAATGAAGTTAAAATATCAATATTTACAGATAACATGATACTCTATATACAAGGTCCCCAAAACTCCACCAAAAAAATTCTAGGTTTAATAACTAAATTCAGTAACATACCTGAATACAAAAATCAGTACTCAAAAATCTGAACACAAATAAGACACTCACTGGGAGGAAAATTATGTAAAAAGCACCTTTCATAATAACATCCCAAAACACTGAGAAACTTAGGAATCAATCTAACAGAAGAAGTAAAAGAACTTTACATTGAAAACTACAATAGTCTGAAAAAGAAGACTGAAGAGGATACTAGAAAGTGGAAAGATGTCTCTTGTTCTTGAGTAGAAGAGCCAACATAATGAAAATGGCCATACTTCAAAAAAAGTCATAGATTTAATGTAATATCAATCAAAATATTAACAGCGTAACTCACAGAATTAGAGAAAACAATCCTATGGGATCATTTGGAATGATTTTAATTTTTTTTTTTTTGTCTTTTTCGTTTTTATCGGTACCAGGGATCGAACTCATGACTGCCTGCTTGCAAGGCAGGTGCTTATGCCGCTGAGCTAAATCCTCAGCCCCTGATTTTTAATTTTTGATCCATACTGGTTTCCTTAATGGCTGTACTAATTTAAATTCCCTCAATAGTGTGCAAATGTTCATTTTTCTCCACATTCGTTTCTCAACTTGCTATCTTTTGTGCGTGTGTGCGTGTGTGTGTGTGTGTGTGTGTGTGTGTGTGTGTGTAGTCAAATTTGAGTATAGGGCCTCACATATGCTAAGCAAGTGACCTACCTCTACCCAACCATTCTCATTGCAGGAGGTGATATCTGATTGTAGTTTTCTTTTTATTTTTTTAAATTTTCCTCATGATAAGTGATTTTGAACATCTCTTTATATACCTGCCAGCCATTATATGTCTTCTTTTCAAAAATTTTTATTTAGGTCTATTCCTTTAATAAGATTATTTGTCTTATTGCTATGAGCTTGTGTTTCTTATTTATATTTATACTAATCCTTTGTCAGTTGTATAGTGTGTAAATGTCTCCTCTTTGTAGGTTTATTTTTTACTTTGTTGATTTTTTTGGCTGTACTTTTTAATTTGATGTGATTTTCATTTGTCTTTTGTCTGCTTCTGAAAAAGAAATTAAGATAATGATCTCATTTCCAAAAATTGCCTGTTGTAATATTTTGAAGTGTTTTTCCTATAAAAAATCTAGTTTCATGCCTTTCTTATATTTAGGTCTTTGTCTCTAGGTAATATTTGTAACTACTGTGAGACAGAAATAGAAATTCATCCCTCTACATGAGTATATCAAATTTTCCCAGTACCATTTATTGAATAACTTTCTTTTATCCAATACAGATCCTTAGTAACATTCCTGAAGGTCAAATGGTTATAGATACATAAATCTACTTGGAGGCTTCTTTTCTATCCTTTGGTCTATGTGTCTCCCTTCCCTAATATTATGCTGTTTTGATTACTATAACTTTAAAGTACTGTATATTTTTAATTAATGTAATGCCTTCTGCTTTGCTATTTTTGTTCATTGCTTTGGCCATTTGGGGTGTGTGTTTGTGCATGTGGTTTTATATAACTTTTACAAGTACAGTATCGCTGCTATTTTGTAGGGATTGCATTAAATCCATAAATTTCTTTGGGTGGTATGAAATAGTGATTTTTCTAATCCATGAATAACTTGGATTATTTTTCCCTGTGTGTCTGCATGTACTTCAATTTTGTTCTTCAGTATTTTCCAGTTTTCACTAAGGAGATCTGTTATGGCACAGATGTAAACACTCCTTTAAATTGTCAGACCATCATAGTTAGGACTTTTGGATGCTGATTGCATTACGAGGACTAGCAGATGACTTTCTGTTAGGAGGTGAGGCCTGGTCTGCACAGTTAAGTCACTACTGGTGTGACCCAGGTGATATTTCTGTTCCTGGCTCTTCCCTTAACCTAATCTCTTCTAGTGCTCCATGCCATGAGCAACTCTCTCCATCATGCCCCTTTGCCATGCTGTCCTTCCTTGCACTGAGGCCTGAAACATGAGCCAAAACAAACTTCCCCTCCTTTACCCGGCAGGTGTCAGGTATTGTGTCTCAGTTATGACAGTGATGAAGTGATGAAGACAAAATCGTTCACTCTTTGGATAAATTCATTCCAAAATATTTTTTGTAGCTACTGAAAATGGGATTAGCTTCTTTTTTTCAAACAATTTGCTTTTGATGTATATCAACACTATTAGATCTCTATATTGATTTTTCTATCTCACAACTTTATTGACTTGTGTTATTAATTCTACTTTTGAAGGGTGCAATTGTAAAGGTTTTCTTTCTGTAATACACTTTAATGTAAAAAAGTGACAAGTTGACTTCCTCTTTTCCAATTTGTATGCTCTGTATTTCATTCTCCTACTGATGGTGTTAACACTTCTGCTATTCTTGGCCCTGGACTTGCATTCTCATTTATTTATAGATACTAAAGATAAGTTATGCCATCTAAGTCATAAATCTAGTTACAACTTTGCCCTGGCTAACAGCTCTCAGTTGCTATACACTTCTTAAGGTCCTCTATCATCCAGTTTTTTCTTTAACATTTTTCAAAACCTCCTTAATTTCATTGTATAACTTCTTGGGGTTTCTTGAACTCGTGATTCTCTCATTCTCCTAACGCTTTATCATTCCTGCTCCTTCACGTCTTCCAGAAATTAATATTCATATGTATTTCCATCTCATCATGTTAGCACACTATCATATTTTTGGCCTCGCTTTATGTATGCTCTTATCATGGAAACTTGTCTTTTGGCCCAACTCAGGCTTTAGGAGGTTTCCAGTGTACTGTCACAAAAAGCTGCACATCATCACTAACGTTACTCCGTTTGCCTGCATTCCCTGCTGCTAAGCATGCTAGAGGTTCAATCCGTGAATGAATAAATGGCATTTTCTCTGTCTGAAAATGCATCATCTTTCATTCCTGTTCTCACCTGTATCTAGCTAAGCTTCCTCATCCCTGACCATTCAGCTCAGAGAGCATTCTTCTCGAACTTTTCCCTGACTTCCAGGCTACCAGATGACTCCCCTCTATCCTCTCATTGGAATGAATGAGCTTATACAGTGAAAGTCGGAGCAAAACATTCCTCTGCTCACGTTTCTCTAAAAGCCTCACATTTTACTAGAAAAAGCCTACCATGCTCTACAGGAACTACCCTGTTTTCCGGTTATCTCTCTGACATCATCTCTGACTACTCTTCTGTTCCTTTCTCCAAGCTTAGACATGCTACCCTTTTAGAGCTGGGACAGTAGCTGGGATACTTTTCTTAGATACCCATGTGACTGACTTGCTTTTTCTTTTTTCTAATTTTTCCACAAATATTCCCTTACCAATGAGCTCTACTAAATCACTCTAATTTTTATTAATATATATTAGTTATGCAGAATTGGTGGGATTCATTTTGGCATATTCATACCTGCAAATAACATACCTTCATCATTTTTCCACAATTTTCCATTTTCCTCTTTTCTCTCCTTCCCTAGTCTCCTCCTCCACTTTTCTTAGTCTCTAATAATTTCCTTTCTAGTTTCATATAATCTTTATTTTTAAAAATTTAAAACAGTTTTCAAGATTTTTTCCTTTGAGAGAAAATGTATGAGAGTTATTTTGAGTCTGAGTTAATATTTCACTTAGCATAATGATTTCCAGTCTCATGCATTCTCCTGACAAGATATCATTCTTCTTGTATAGGATATGCATATATATTTATATACATGTAGATATGTGTCACATTTTCCTTATCCATTCATCTTTTATGTACACCTAGGCTGTTTTTATAGCTTAGCTATTATGAATTATGCTATGGGAAATATAATAAACCATGTTCATTTAAGGTGCAATTTGCATTGCTCCTCTCCAGTTGCACATTTCTTATCCTTCTTTCTTTGCTCCATTTTGTGTAGTTTTTATTTTTTCTGGTCCTGCTTTATAATTTATTTATGATTATCACTTATTTTCTGGTGCTCTTTATGAGAGCGTAAGTTCATAAGAGCAGATATTTTTCTGTTTTGTTCTCTTAAATGTTCTGAGTGGCTAAATCAGGACTGGAACGTAGTAAGTACACTTGGATATGGACGTGAAAGGAGGAGCACTAATTGCACTATATTATTATTTTCGTCCTTGTCTATCTGCTTGCCACCAAATTTTGAGCTTTTTGAAACTGAGGATGTTTGCTGTTTTGGCTGTGCATAACATCCTAACACATTTCACGAAAGTAATGGGTTTATAGTAAATGTTTGCTTAAATTGTATGTATTCACTTCCAAGCTTATCACCCTGTAAATTTGCAGAGCCAAAGTACAATGCAAAGACAAAAATGCTGTTTTCTTGGTGAAAAGCTTCATATAAACTGTTACAGTGTCAGAAATCTCCAGAGTTGGACATTGTTCTGGCTAAGTGGCCTCAAAGGCTAAAAATTCACCATTGTACATTTAATATTTTCCCTTCATCTGTACTTATATTTGGGCCATGTATTTTAGTAAATTAGAAATTTTTTAAAAACCTAAAAATTATAGAGCTTGAAAGTTAATACTTTGCCATCTGTGACTTCTCTTTTCGTTTTGTTTTGCAGAGCTCTTCCTGCCATGATGCAGTGGGTCCGCACACAGAAGCCAGGAGAAAGTGGCATCAATATTGTTACTGCTGATTTTGTAGAACTTGGCGATTTTATCAGCACAGTCATAAAGCTCAACTATGTCTTTGATGAAGGAGAAGCCAACACTTGATAATGCTGTTTGGAGTGCCTAAGAATAAGATAGAGAAGACACATTGTATTAGACATATTATCTATAAACACTCTGATCTTCCTATTCCACTGAATCTCTGATGGGATTAGGACTGGTAGTGGGTGGGAAAATGGGAAAATCATTTCTTCAGTGATTATAATCATACTCGGCATTGCTATAAATACTTCATTTTCCATTTGATGAGCAAATTCTACTAGTGTTAGGGATAAAATTAGTAGTGATTTTGTTTTTCAAAATTAGTCTTTGTAATGTGTAACTCCTGAGTGTTTACTTGATTGCATTTTTTAATTTCAACCTAGGGCTCCCATTCTGTGACTTTTCCACTCCCTCTCTTGCTCATTCTTTCTAATCAGATGATGAATGGGACTCAGAATAATTGAATGCCCAGCATAATGCGTGTTACATTATCGTACTGAAAAACTATTTGTTTTGTGGGACTTGAAATAATATTCTGTAGTCATCTGCATTTGGCCAATCATAGATATTAGTCATAGAAAATATACATCAAATCAATTTCCCTACGTCAGTAATATTGGATTCCATAGTCAGTGATTTTTGTGTTATATGAAAATAATAGCGTTTCATAGTATTTCTATTTAAGGCAGCTATAATTGTAGTGTAAAAATCTTTGGAAGGACTCTGTGTCAACTTCACAATAAAAATGAACAGTAGAGTGAGGGAGATGGATGCTGTTTTAATCCAGCAAGCTCTTAAATACCAGTGCCCTGAGAGTACTCAGTCAGTGATATAAGAACTGTGTTAAAATCAGAACCTCAAAAAGAACTTAAGTCCTCTTTAACAATTTTTTTTTTTCAAGAAAAGGAAAGAAATGAAAGACCTTGCCATCTAGTTCTATATATAGTTCTAAACCTTGGATTCTGAAGACTATTTTTCTAGAAGCTTCAAATTTTTAACTTGAAGAAAGAGGAAAAGTGGCAGAAGGAATTAGAACAATGTTTCTGAAATTATGTCCACACAATCACAAGGATCTAAAATATTTCTAGGAAATGCCTGAAATATCTGTGATCTGTGCAGACTTGTTTAAAACTTGCATTGACTTATCCCTTCTGGGTCCCAACTTATGCCAGAGACAAGATTAAGCAGAAAGTGATAGTTTCATGCGAAGTTTGTGTGACCTAACTTTGATAATCCAGGTCCATAGGAAAGAACAATGATAACACAGGCTTAAGGGTTTCACTTTCATTGGTGTCTTCGTATTTGACCATTCTGATACAGTCTTGGAAAGGGTATAATTTTTACCTCTCAAGCATATTGTGGGGCATTTAAAAATTCTAAAATTTGCTGAAATTCTTACAATTATGAATTATTTTATCTCCATAGTTAAAAATAATCACATCTCAATAGTCTACTAGAAAATACAGTTTTGTGCAAATTCAGGCCTGAGAAAAATAAAAGCATGCCCATATCTTCAATAACATACATAGTCATTATCTATCTGAAAATAGTACTCACTAGCAATTGCAAAGAAGGAATACAAATTATTTATAATGAAGACAAGTTTCATGTGAAATGTAATATCTTGTATAGACCAGGTACCACGAGTATACACACAACCAGGTATGTTTATACATTGCAGTTCTGATATATATATATCCTACACACTATAAACATATAGTCACTTCTATGTAGTCCTACATCAATATACACAAACACAAACACATATAGACAGATACAGTAGAGTTCTTCTCAAATAAAATAATATAATACATTTCATTGTCAGATTGAGCCCCCAAATATACAAAGGGGTGATAAAAGTTTTTGAAAATGGGAGTTGTTGATCTCACTAAAGTATTTTTGTGGAAGTATCCTGGCTATTGTTTTAAATATTTACAAAATATAATTAATTTTTTATTTCCACTTTCTCTGACCTTGTATTTATATTGTGTATCCCTTTTACTTTCTCTTTATATGCAATTGAAAGTGGATCATTTTTAAAGGGTTATGTTTTTATTGAAATTAATATACTATAAATTTACGGTTTTGTGCAGATTTTCTCTTTATTCTTAACCCCACACAAGAATGTTTAGGCAAGCACAGTGTAATGACACGAGAAATTAAACTTACAAGTATGACAAAAGCAGATATTTCAACCTATTCCTAAAAATGAATACAATATTGAGGTAACTATTTGGTATGACCTTGAAGTTAATGTTTGTTTAGAATAAACTGTGTTATAATTGTCATTTGGGTACTGTAAAGAACAAACATGATGAAGCATTAGGCGGTGCAGTTTCTTAACTTGGGAAAGTTTTGTTGCCAGTAATGATATGCACAGAGAAACTCTGTTAGACAAAAGCTATTGTATGGCTTTAATGTGGACATACAGTACCCACAGCAGGCACTGAGAGTAAATGGGCTCACCTTAATCTGCAAAGGGGGTCAGAGATAGATACAAACTATGAGAATATTCATTAAAATAAATTGCTTGGAAAAAAGAATGGTAACAGATTCCCTTTGGCTGTCTGGTGTTTATCGGCTCTGCCCTGGAGCACACTTAGGGAGCAGACCGTGGGCCTTACGTTAAGAAATGGGGAGCCAGGGATTTAGCTCAGCAGCATAAGCATCTGCCTGGCAAGTGTGAGGTCCTGAGTTTGATCCCCAGTTAAAAAAAAAAAAAAAAAAAAAGAAAAAGAAATGGGGTTGAGAAATAGTGATATGCAATCAAAACTCATCCTTAGCTATGATCCTTGGTCTTGACTGGGCATTGTTTTTCCGGATTTAGGAGCACAAGGGCTACAAATAGGTCCCAAGATGATAGCAGATACATCTTGGTGCACTTTTTATTTTGCTTGTTTCTTAAGGTGTTATGTCATAAGTCCTCCAAAGGCAAGTCCTTTATCCAACCTGCAGCAGGAAATCAAAGTAGTAGATGGAATGAGAGAAAATAAGTAAAAGATATCTTGTATTCAAGTTCATTTTCCTGCCAGTAATTTCAAAGTCCCTACATAGTAAAATCTTTTCCTGCCATTATCTTTTATGTCTCTCTTATTGCTACATAATCACATGAATGTAGAGAATGAGGAGGCATCCTTTAAAAGCCTTAGGACATTCTATATGATGACCTCAATATTCACTTTCAGCCATACTGGGAAAACTCACTTTTCATGGAGCGCCACCTAACAGTGAATGTATTAGAGCATGAAGTGTTTGGCATGATGCACCACACACACACACACACACACACACACACACACACACACACACACACACAGAGGCATACACATATAAACACACACACATTATTTAAGTTCAAACTGCATCTGATCATCTAAGGTGACTCTGATTTTATGTGGTTTTTATGGTAATTTTAAAATCAGTATGTCTTATTTCGGTAGACATAAACATAATGCAAGTATTCAAATATTTGAGGGAAGAAAAATCATGAGAAAACCTGTGAAAAGTGAGACCATCAGAAATAGGAAATGCTTGACAGTAATATGTACTCTAATTACATTGTCAATTACACCTCCTCTAGGGAATCTAAAGTAGTCTTATATGTAAGTTACTTAAAAGTTTTTAATTCCTTTGAGGCTTTGCCATGTTTCTAGGAAGGATTATTTGTTTAGGATCTCCTCTGTTAAGATTCTAGACTGGAAAGTTGGAAGTCTCAGGAAATGAGTGTTTTCATGAGTTTTCAGTTCTCCAGCTTTACAAATAATTTTCTAACCTTTGGTTGCTCAGCCAACCAGGATCTCCCTAGGCAGAGTGTTCACATTTTAATTGAAGTGAAAATGATGCAAAGTGTCCCTCAGGATATGCTAAATAAGATTTTTAAAGTATTTTATTTTATAGCACTTTAGTCCTTCAACTAGATTTCAATGGCACCATGGTGTAAATGCTGTATTTGCCATAATTTACTGGTGGCTCCTGTGTTACATACCGTTTTGAATAACGCTCCAATTTGTTTTCCCAATGACAATGATACAACGTTGTGTAGAATTTGTGAAAGATGTTGAATCTGTTGAAAATTGTGTAATTTTAGTTTATTCGTGATAATAGTTTGTAGTTATTAGTTCTTAACATGTATTTGTATGAGTCAAAACTAAGTACTTGTCAGTGGTATGTGTAAGTATATTGTATCTTATAAAACTTATCAAACTTATCTTAAAGCAAAAGGGCACATCATGACCAGCCTTAATTCACTGACATTTTTAGTTATTGTTGCTACACCTTGGATTTAATATACATATAAAAATTAAGTTTTTTAAAGATAGTTTTTAAAAATCATATGACATATGTTTTAGAGCTTTGCCCACAAGCAAATTACATAGCTTGTAGAGCACCCCTGGTTTTCAAAATTATCAAAGATCAGTTGTAATTAACTTCACCATGCTAATAGACTAAATTTACATGCTAATAGACTAAATTTGCTTCCATTAGCTACAGAAAAACAGCACTGGTAAGGTTATTCTTCCCAAGATAGAGCTCTGTAATGGTAAATGTGTGGTTTTTTGATTTAATAATACATTTTCCATGAAAAATAGTTCCACCATAGGCTCACTCTGGAGACATGAATCTTCCAAAGATGAACAACCTTTGCTTTGTGAGTCAGTGAAGCTCCATCAGCATGAGGTGGTTCCAACATGGCTCCCTTTGCAAAAAAACTCATACTTTTTTTGTCTGCCCACTTTGTACTCTAACAGTAGAAAATTCACGATTAGGTCCAGAATTTACATAAGTATCTGTGCTTGAAGTAAGAACTCTAATCTTTGGGCTTCTTACTTTTGACATTTTCAAACACTTTTTCCAAATGTAGGATTGCCAAATAAATACAAAACATTAGACAAATTCAAACTTCAGATAAATTATACTTTTAGGGTATTTACTTTATATTTCATCAGACACACACTAAAAATGCTGCTGTTTATATGGAACTCAAATGTAAATCAATATGACCTGTATGTTTTCCTAAATCTGGCAACCATATTCCTGTTTCTTCTATATCTTTTTGCAGCTGAGCTACCTACGAGATAGAGAGTAAGCTCTGTCTCATCCTTTATATTGCTATGTTATTATTCTTCCTTTTTTGAAAGAAAATATTGGTCCATGCCAGGTCCCACAAATTCTTTATGAAGAATCAAATGAAAAACAGATGAATAATAGTCAATTATCTTCATTAGATTAATTCTATAAAATTAAAAATTCCCCTCAGTGGCCTATTTTGAGGCCCACAGTCTCTCCACTAATTCCTTGAATAATATTCCCTAGAAATTGGAACAACCAAAAACATACCCATGTATTCAAAATATTTTTGGAATGTGATAGCATCATTCTAAACTAATATCAGGATCTCTTTTTAAAATTCAGTTTTGTTTTCTTTCAGAGAAATAATAAATGAATCTATTGTTCTGTTCCCACCATTAACATTTTGTCAAAAACATATTTTTATTATGTTGGAACTATCTATATAATGGTAGAAAGTTGGACATGGAAAGCACATGCACTGTGGGAAGAGAGGAGTCTGGTGTAGATGCTGTCCTGTAAATTCCATCTTGGAACAGCAAGAGGAGGTGGTGGGGACTGAATGTGGTCCCTGACATGAAAATGATAATGGATTTGATAAAGCAAATGATAATTAGTAATATTGATCGATTGATTGGAATTGGAAGCCCCAGCTAAAAAGCAATGAGTTCTAATGCTGCCTTTTGGAACTATTTTCGGGGAATAAAACCACGTTGGAACTCCTAAAATAACATTTATGTGCTGCTGTTGCCAACACTGAATACTTGACACAGTCTGAATGATGAATGAAGTTTTAGAATATTTGTGGCAGCTACCTCTTCTCTTGAAATTCTTGTGAGTGGTATGGGAAAACCAAAATCCCTTGATAAAACATTTCTGTCTCATGATTCCTGCACACATTAGAGTTGATTTGCTTCATTTCTAGAGGATGGGAATTTACAAATCTGGTGACTTTTCCTTCCTTAGATATCAGAAATTCTCCAAAAGGAGACAGATTTGTGCTTTTTTTTTTAGGTCTGGTCATTAAAACTTTAATAAATGTAGTGTAAAGAAAATCCATACCTACAGTCTGTATAACAAATGTGAATTTTTTGATAAGATTGTGTTCTTAATGTAAAAACAGTTTGTATCCAGTGAAATGCCTAATAAAGTCCTGGTAGCAACTATCTTTATGGTGTTTTTCCAATTCCTATTCTCCTACGCTTCATTATAAGCCTTCAAATGGATCTTTTAAGTAGGACTTCTGAAAATAAAATTCTTTTTAGAAAACTTCTATATGACATTTGAGGATTTATATTATAAAGCCATAATGATTTCTATATTATACTTATATCTGGAAATAATATTGACATGATTATATCTGTGTATCCTAACGTATGACTTCTACAGTTTCATTCAGCAAACATTTGTCATTACTATGTGGCAAATTCCCTGGTAAACATAAAATTTTTACAAAGAATTATTTAGAAAAATGAATGAATCACATATTTTTTGGTTTTCTTTTTTAGTTTCTTGGTGGATTTAATAGTTAGTACTACATTTCTCCTGAAATAAGCAGTTAAGCATTTATTCTAGGAGCCCTTTACAAAGTCCAGATATTAAAATTGTTCAAATAGAGGCATTCCTCAGACCCTAAGAAGAAAGGTAGAATTTCTAACATTATGTAATTGGAAATAATTTATGGCAACAGGTAAGAATGGAATCCTACTCACTCCTTGACTCAAACTCTGCCTTCATATACAGGGTTCACCGTAAAAATGTGGCTACCATTCCCTAACTGTAACTCTAAACAGCAAAATCAGAGGTTCCATCCCTTCCTCCTCATTTTTCCTCCAGATTTTAGGTGGAACTGCTGTCACTCCAAAGGAGCAGCAGCCCATGCTGCAGAGATGATAGCAAGTAGACATCTACATTTCAGGTAAGCAGATCCCATGAGTTAAATAATCTCTATAGAGGATGCTGCATGGGTCAACAGAGTAACATTATACAGGATTGAAAGCTCTCTTTCTTTGCGTGGAAGGAAATTCTTTGTCATGGTAGATTTCAACATTGCCTCTCCATACGAGCTTCAAGATATGTTCCTAGTATTAAATCATAATGATGTTTATACTGGACCCTAACTGTAATGAGGCGTCTGCTACCATATTCAATCTTCAACCCTGTGAATAGAAACTTTGTGAAAGCATCTGGAGTTATTAGGCCAAGAAGAATCACACTCAAACCACCTTAAAATTGTAGACAGTGGGACTTACTGTCACAAGGGATGGAGTGGCTCAGAGCCTGGGTTCTGGCAGTTCTTTGGCACGCTTTTCAGACTCTTATTCTCCACATACACTTTTTTACTCATAGAGGCACAAAGCTTGATCTGGGATTTGCAGAGAAATAGAAAAAAAAATTTGCTTCAATATAACTGTGTAGATATTATTAAACTGTGTCCTTTCATTTAAATCACAAAAAAATCTTTAATTTAAGACATTGAGAGGTGCAGCTCAGCTATTTTTGTATTCCTAGGGCATGCCAAGTATTAAAACATGTTTGAAAACAATAAAATGAAATTGTGTCTGGTTGTGACCTAATCAAACTATGGGCAAGTGCCTGATAAAGGTCATTTAAGCGGTAAGAATTCTTAGGTAGTGATGAGTGATAAAAAACAATAAGACTATGTGCTTCGCTTCTCATATTTTATGTAAAAATACTGAGAACATGAGAAGATTGGGAGGTGCGGATACACTGCATAGTGGTCTCTTCAAGGCTAGAAATACTCTGTCTATTAACTGTAAAGTCACTTATAAGTTTATATGAGGAATATTCATCCAGAATAATTTGTTTTGTAAAACAACTACTCTAAAAGAAGTGAGAAAGGGTAGGATGGGAAATTACATTTTGAATTTCAAGAAAATATTTTGTTAATTTTTTTCCCATCCCTCATTTCCTTATGGATACATGTTGTGTTGCAAAAATATGTTTACTACAATTCCACAGACACCAGCTCCCGGAAAAGAGCCTCGCTCTTACACTTCTTTGGAAGGCGGTCTCAACCCAGAGGATGCTTCCTGTGGACTTAATGGAAATCTGCATGTCCTCCTCTGGCTACTGGCTGCCGGAGTCTTTTCATCTCGATATCCATATCTTAGTTACTTTATTGTTATGAGACAGATTACCTGAGGCTCAGAACTTAAAGAAGGAAAGGTTTGTTTTGGCTCACAGTCTGTAGTGGCTTCAATCCATAATCACATTCTAAGGCAGTGTGATACGGCAGAGAAAAAATAGCTCATAGCATGGCAGGAGGAAGCAGAGAGAAAGACCAAGAGAGGAAGTATGGAGCTCCACCTTTTGCGGGAACACCCCTAGTGATCTACCTCCTAAAATCAGACTTCACCTCCCAACACCCCGTTTAACTATAAATTCATCAATATGGACTAATCCACTGGTGACTCTCATGACCCTGTGACCCAGGCATTTCACAAAGTCTCTAGCAATGAGTGTGCATGTCTTTGGCGAGACATCTAAATGCAAATTATAACAGCATTGCAGTCTCCAGTCTGTACCTTTTGTATTGAGCCCATCAATCTACCACTGGACACTATCTCTAAGTGGGCATCACTACAAAGACAGAGTCCTCTGACACGGAAGGACTGAATACTCTGTGGCCATGTTACTGTTTTAATATGGGGTTCTTATTTCCTAACAATTACCCATAACTATGGGGAACTCTTTTCATTTTTAGGTAATCAATGGGCTGGGGACAGAAATAAATAAATAAATAAATAAATAAATAAATAAATAAATAAATCAAGGGTGACAGCCATCGTGCTGTCCTCAAATCCACCCCTCCCCTCTAAGGACCACACACGCTTCTTTATCAAATTTACTACCTTGTCTTTTTATATTCTGGAGACAGTTTTCTAGTAGGCTTCTTGGTGTTTATACAAATAGGCCTCTGGAAGACTCTCCCGCCTGATTCTGTTATCTAGATTCATTCAAAGACCCATGGTGCATGTTGTAAAAGACTTCACTGCTTCTTTTCATCATACAGATGAGAAAATGCTAATACTGTCTTTGTGTTCAAGTTCTTAGCTTTTCCTCAGTAGGATTCTTCTTTTCCTGGTCCAAATAAAACTTGTTTTCTGACACACGATTTAAGGAGTTCATTCACAGTGAAGTATTAATGTGGCTAAAAGGAAGCAATTCAAATGTTTGTTTACTTTTCTAAGTATTTACAGTCAAGTAAAATTCACAAAGCCATATGTTACAAGATGGCTTTCTTAATGGAAAGTTCAACAACTCTGTGCCCTTTACCTGCCTCCAAGGATCCCTGTGGAAACTCCTATGACTTCCTCGAGTACTTTTGAAACTTTACTGTGTGTGAAATTACCTGGTGATTTCAATTAAATGCAATTCTGACCCACACATTAGGGATAAAGATCCAGAATTCTGTTTTAAAATGAGCTCCCAATGATGCAGGGTTACCAAGGCAAATGTCTTTCTTTGTTTAACTGGGCTATAAAGGTCAACCTTAAAACACTTGCTTCAAAGTCTAAACTTCATGGTTGCAACTTGAGACCATACTCAGAAATAAATCAGACTTGCATGTGTAAATATCATATTGTCTCCCTTCTGTAAGAAGCTGAAAAAGTAAATAGAATCCAGAATGCACAGTAGAAATTGTGAAGTGGAAGAAAACTGTTAAAAAGAGAAGCTGGTATGGGGGAAAGGAGAAAAGAAGAAAGGGAAAAGAACAAGTACATAAATAAATAAATACACACACAAAACAGTTAAAACACACTACTAATTGATATTAGTTTCTTGAAAAGGAAGTTGTGTGCCTATATGGTTTGATCAATTTTTCATGCCTACAGCTTGCCATAGAAGCAACTACTTTGAAAATAACAATGAACAATGTATTCATTATTGTTTCTTCCCTCAACCTTATTTTGATAGTTCATACCATTGTTTTACGTTTTTTCCTTTAAAATAAAAAAAATCTAAATTTCATTCTACATTTATTTGGGGTGTGCATATATGACCAGAAATTTAATTATGAAATAAGGGAGTGGAGGAATTATTGTGGGGAGGAAGAGTATAATACGGTAACTAAAAACGCTTTGGCTTTCTAAGCCCAGTCAACTCAAAACTACTAGTAACTGCTTGTAATTTGATAAAAATCAAGTGTATTTATGTACTTGGAAGATGAAACATGGATTGGCTCACCTAAAAAAAAAAAAAACATAAATCTTTATGTGCAAGAGTATTGGGAGTTGAAATGCAAACAAAAACAATATTTTGATAGACTCAGATTGAAGTAGGATTATCCAAAGAGGCCAAATCAGGTCTGACAATAGAGCAGACGCAAAGCTCTGCTTCCTTTGATGCTCAGAGTACAACCAGGTGAATGCTGCTTGCACAAACTCCTCATTGGAAGTGCTCCTTCTGGACTGTGAATCAAGGCTGGCCCTCTGTGTCAAACTGACTTAAAATTGACTTTCCATTCTTACTGATAGAATTTTGGACAGCTGCACTCACTCAAGAAGGGGCTTATTATGTCATTTAAGAGCTGTCATATGACCTTGTGAGAGTGTTTCCTTCTAACTTTTATGGGCAGTCTTCAGTGAGGTCTGTTTATTCTTCCCACCTGATGGATGACCATTCTGATTTATTGTCCCAGAATTTAACACGCTTGGTTTTCTAGTGACAAAAGTCCAAAGCAAATTATTTTAAACCAGAACAGAGTGGTGGAGGTGGGATGAGGTAGAATACTGTAAAGGAGAGGAGTGTGGGGCCAACTGGATCAGGAGCTGCAAATAACATCATCAAGGCTTGACTTTTCTCAAGTCTTATTTTCCTCTATACTGACTATATTTAAGTATAATCATTCTATATGGACTCAAAACTACTAAAGTTACCTTTTGAAATAGTTTCAAACTAGACACAGTTTAATTTCATTGGTCTTATTTGAGCCCAATTTCCTAAAGAAGCACTGCACGTGAGCATAGAACCCTGTCAGCCTTCCATCTCTGTCGGTTCCAGCATCTGTAAGTTTGGGCCTTTGAATGTTCTGTATCCTGAGACTTAACCAACCACAAATCAAAAATATTTAGCTAAAAAGAATGCATCTATACTTAACATATACAGACTTTTTCCTATCATCACTCTCTAAATGATGAGG